GTTTTCTTTAAGAACAAATTTTAATGTTTTCCCGAAACATAATTAGTTCTCCAGAGTTTCACATGAAAATAAATTAATATTCCAATTTAAAGTGGGAAAAAACTAAAGAAGGGTTTTGTTTACTTGATTTTTTTAAGGGAAACTCAGTTTCATATGACATCTTACTTGAGGTAATGAATGCATTCAACTTTCTTGCCCCTAACAGGTTCTATAAGATCCCCTACTACAGAATCATATATTAATTTTAAAACTTTTTGAACATCTTAAAATAGATACGATGGGTACATGTGTATATACTTCTATAATACATACACAGGTGTCTGTATGCAACCACTTACACCTACAGAGTGGGCAGAATCAAATGTGAATATTGTGTTGGAGAAGAGACCTCTTTAACAAAGCCTGTTACTACCTGCGATTTTTTATTTTTGTTTCCATTTCAAGCAGAACACTAATAACAATCAATTTATATTGTAGTGTCCTGCAAATAACTAAAAAAAAAAGAAATAAAACAGGAAAATCAATTTAAATCTCACCATTTCCAAAATTTTGTTACAACTCAACTAATAACAAAGACAAAACTTGTTTAGGAGACCAAATGGAAAACATTATCAACTGAGAAGCCTGGGGCTGTGCCTAGATGCCCTCCAAGTAGGGCATTAGGTCACTAGCAGAGAGAAATGCAGCCAGCCACTTCAGCTGTGGCTTCAGATAAAGCTGTGCTGTCAAGTTGCTAAGCCTGCTCCTCCTCCGTCTCTTTGAAAGTCATCAAGGAAAGTTTAGGAGTACAACTACATGGAGGGAAGGTGGCATTCAGACTCTGGACCTCCCTTCAACAAAAATGTTCTTTTCTCTACTCCCATCCACACCCTGTTCCTTCAGCCACTTGGATGGACAAGCTCGCCACAGAGAGTGATTGGGGATAGGACACTTTTTACTGAAGCTACTGGCCAAAGAGGCACCAGAAAACTTCCTGTGCTCCAAGTTGAGGTAGGAGCCCAAGTTGGGCCCCACAGAGGGTGGCCTGAGGCTGGAAGAACACAACTGCCCAACCACAAGCATACCAGTCAGGGAGCAGGGAGGGCCAGAGGAAGGAGGTGTCCAGCATCTCCTAACAGAGAACTGGCTGATCAAGGAAAACATTCAGCTTCATCCCTCCCAATACTCAAGTCTGTCACTTTCCATCCATTTTAAAAGACAGCAGCATTTGAAACAAACAAGCCAGCAAACCATGCCTAAGAGCCATATCATCTCAGATTCACTTTTTCCCAACAGGCTTTCTAGTTCTCCACAAATAATATCCTCGATCGCTCTACTCTGCTCCCCCAATCCTTAATAATTGGGGGGAGGGGAGAGAGATGTCTAGAGAGACTAGAGACAGTAGATCAGAATTCTAGGCAGCTTCTCACAACTCTCTTGTTTATAGAACATGAATGTCTGCCTGGCTTGCTTTTAGTTCAGGAAAGGGGTCAGTCTTAATCAGCACGGTTCACACAGATCCTGGATTTCTCCCGCCACCCTTCCCCGACTTAAACTGACCCGCTTTTAAGATAAAGACATAATAGAGAAAGCATTGACCTTACCTGGTCCCTAATGAGTTGGAAGTCAGAAAAACCCCGATCTCCTTTCCTCTTAACTCGGGTCGCCTGAGAGGAGACTCAGGCTACCTTTTGTACACTCGCGCCTGGAGAAAGACCCTCACCGATGCCCAAAGGCCGGCAAGCGCTCTCGAAGAGTGTGCGGCCTCTAAAGTATCAGAATTCTTCCCTGAGGTCTCAAAAGCGGAGACCTCGATGCCAGATCTAGGACTAGACCTGCCCCAGGAGGATTTAAAATCCCTTGGAAGGCTCCCGAGCCAGTCTTGCCTTTGAAAGGCCAAGCCCTAAGCAGTGGGAAGAGCGGACTCCTGCGAGGCCCTTGGACTGGAGGGCGCCAGGCTCCCCCGCCTCTAGGAGTAAGTGCCCTGAGCGTTCCTAGCACAGTCGGCTCCTTCCTGGCTCTGATTTCACTCTCCGGACCTGAGATTCTTCCTACCGGGCCAGCCCCTGTCCCAGAGCCGCTGCTCGGGCGGCTGAGGCATTCCCAACCCCCACCCACCTCCTGGGCTTCAGGGCTCCAGCTGTAACCGCTGGTGTTCCTGTTGGGGGGCGGCGGCAGCCCGGGCTTCCTTCTCCCCTGCTCAGAGCATCTCTGCCCCGCTCTTCTCGCCTCCCCTGAGCCCGGTTCTGTCCCTGGCCGGGCCAGCTGAGAGGGATGCCTTCCGGCCTCCCCGACCCACAGCTCTGGGTTCCCAGGCTGGGGCGGGGGTGGGGAGCCGCTTTGGGATGCTAAACATCAAACAAGCCAAGCCTGGGGTTTCAGGCCCCGAAGCCACTAGAGCCGCTCTCCAAGGCTCTCGAGAAAGTCCTCGTGTTTACATGGCAGAGTGGGGGTGGGGGAGCGGAGGAAGGGGGGATGTTGTCTGCAAAATCTCCCCGCAGCCTTTGGGGCCTAGGGATGGATGGGGTGCTTAGGCGGGGGCGCTCAGCTTCTCCGGAATCTGGGGCGAACTGCGCTACCCCCACACGTGGGGAAGCTTCCGGCTCTTCCAGGCACTTCAGTGTCAGGGACATCCCAGAAGGCTGATTTCTCCACAGAGGAGACCAGAACCTCCCAGGGCCAGAGATGCTGGAGACTTAGGGAAGGTTCATTACTGGAGAGGAGAACTATCCACTTCACAGAGGATGACCAGGATGTGGGGGTGGAGGTTGTCTCCAGTCTTCGGTCTTTCGCTGCACCCAGAGAGCACCCATTTCCCTACAAGGAAGCTTCAGATTACCTTCCAGCACCTCCACCTGCAGCTACAGCAATCTCTTCTCCAGGGGCGGGAGCTGGTGGACCCCGTGTGATGGATGGAGAAACGTGGCCAAAGCCCTGTTTTTCTCTGTCCCATGTGAATTCCCCTTTCACCAGGACCAGTAAACAGACATCAAAATTAACCCTGCTCCAGACAGCAGGGAGAAGAACGTATTTGATGGAAACTCCATCTAGTTCCAGGATGGTAAGGCCAGAGTACAACAGCCCATAAAATTGTGACTTTCAGGGGTGCCCCTGCTAGATGGCTTGGGGGGACAGCCCCCCCATTGTCAGGCACCACCCACCCCTCCCCTCCCAGGCTTGTGCTGGGCACGGGGGCAGGTGGAGGCGAAGCTCCCACCCTACCGCTTTCGGACCTTAGAGCCAACATCTCGCCCCTACCAAGCCCAGCCTGAGGTGGGTGACTTGACCGTCTACACACAGTGTCCCAGGACCACTGCTGCCCATTCCTACACAAGCGTTCAACCTTCCTGGGTTTTCCCTTGTTTTCCAAAATGTGAGGCCTGCTGAGAATTCCCCTTACTAGTACGCTCTCTAGATCCAACAACCACCCTGCCAAAGTCTCCGAGTCTCTTCTGGATATCGAAAACAATATCTCAGCAGCCAGACCCCAAGGAGGAAGCCCACCCTGGCCCCCAGTCAGAGCGCTACGGGAGAAGAGCCCCAGGAAGTCAACAGAGAGGACTCCTGGTGCCACCAAGCTCCCGCGGCCATTTTCCTTGGGGGAGGAGGGTGAGGTCCAGGAAGAGAGAGACGGAGACGGAATGAGCTGAAAAGAAGAGAAATAAAAGCTGGAGAGGCAAGAAAGGAAAAAAAAAGTTGAAATTCTAGATGGTATCTGAGTACACGCCAAATATGAATCAATCCCCCACAATCAAACACTTTCAGACCTAGAGAAAACTGAAAACTGCTGGGAGGGGTATCTGGCCGCAGCATATTCGGCCACTTTTCCTCTAGGTTTATCAGAGATGACATGGAAGGGGCAATAGCCCATCCAGAGACTACGATTTCTCAACCAATCCTTCCTTGACTTCTCCCTAGAGCAACTAACAGCTACATTTGGGCACCAAAGAGACCAAAAAATTAGAGATAGTAAGAGAGGTCAAAGATTTTTTTCTGAGGCGGGAGCGGAGGGGCGCGGGGAGAGTCGACGACCGGAGAAAGATCATTTTCTACAAAGATTTAGGAGCCCAGAGATGGAATCCATGGAACAAAGAGCAGAAAGTCTAGCTCCCAAAGTCCTGCCAGGGGTGTCACCAGGCCAGCAGTCGAGTCCGACCCCTCCCGAGGCCAGAGAAGCGGTGAGAAGCCGGGTATCCGCGGCCAGCCCCGCACGGGAACAACAGTTGTTTTAAAGCAGAAACGAAACCCAGTAACGACTTCCCCACTTTCGAAAACAGCCTCCCACTGGAATTCTAGTTATTCTAGTTCCGAGGAGACTCCGCGGAGGATTAGAAATAAAGAATTAATGTTGAAATCAACAGGGGTAATCCGTCTAGTAAAAATAATCTTTCATTCAGTATTACTTAAAACGGATGTCTTGGCCGACTGTTTTAAAGCATTTGGCTGACTCAGCTGTATAAGACCACAGTAGATACTTCTGAGGTTTTAAAAACTAGAAGCTTTGAAAGCTAGTCCTTTGGTCTCTTTCTCGTCCTTTCTCCCTTTTCCTCCCAGTGGAAGCAGTTTAGCTTTTCTACTCTCTATTGCCGAGTCCCAGGACTGCTTATGGTTTGGTTCTACTTAATTCAAATGCTCCCTCTTCCCCTGGGGCAAGGACTCTGGGTCCAGCCTCCTTAGCTGGTTCAGAATCTTTTGAGTCCTCAGACAATTCGAATCCTATCAGGCCAATGTTGAGCCACTCCCCCTACCACCAAAAAATGCCATTTAAAGCCAAATCAAAACCAAACAAAAGGTGGGTTTTTAATCAGAAAAAGAATCTTTTTAATTTGTATAATTTATTAGAAGCTTCTTAGGAACTATATTTAAGCCAGATATCTACATAAGTTACAACAGAAAAAGACTGACGCTGCAAATACCAAACTGCCAAATAATATACACAGATTTGTCAATGCCCATAAAAAATACGATGGGCTGGGAATGGGGACTGGTTTTTTGTTTTTGTTTTTGTTTTTGATTTTTTACAACAAAATGTACAGATTACTAAAAACTAGGCATTTAGTCCAACTTTTGACAGCGTTTTACAGCTACAAGTTCACATCAAACATAAAACAATTTTAACCAGAGCCGGTCCCAGCTGAGCCTGGGTGGCCAGAGGGAGCTGGGAGGGGGCATTTCCTTTGTGTCTGTGGCCAGTGGGTTCTGTTGAAGAGTCTTTTCCTCTCCCCAGCCCCGTCTCCCCTTCAAAGAAATCCTGGTATTTACAAGCGAGTCCACTTTGCTGGCACGGTGTACCCAGAGTGAAGTTTTCAATCTTTAGAGTCCAGAGCCATGTCATCGTAGAGCCCTCTCCGAACTGTCCCTGCCCGAGCATAGGAACCCCTTTGAATCACCCAAAAGACATCCCAAAAGCGATTCTTGCTATGTCCTTCTTTGTTTAAAGATTCCTTAAAGAATTAGATTCGCTTGGTTCTTTTTATTTTCTTTAAAAAAAATCCTGCAAATTTTAGGGGGGAAAAAAGGAAAGGAAAGAAAGACGTCCAGCAGTTTGGTCTTTGTGTTTTTTCCCTTGGTCTAAATGGGACATGTTCTTAAGAAAAGTCGAAGCGCATGGAGTAGCGGGGCGGTGGGTGTTGTGTGGCGGGCAGGAGGGGAAGCGATGAGGCAGAGTGCTGGGCTAGGCCCGGCCCGGCGTCCTCTCACCAGGTCCGACCATATAGCAAGGTGGAGCAGGACATGGTGCCGTAGTCCGAGCCTGAGGAGTTCAGGTGGGACAGGCTGGAGACCTGGCCCTGCAGTGCCGCGGGGCTGGCGGCGTGGTGCG